CTTAAAAGTGCACCAGGATGTTAGAGTGGATCATGAGGGCTCTGTGTGCCAAATTTGGTCCAGGTTTCCGATTTGTGGGGGCCATGGTGTTCTGTGAGAAGTGAATTGGGTGAAGGTACTCAAAATCCCATCGTCCATGGTCCATCCTGCCCCAAACTGCACCAGGTTGTAAAGTGGGCCATGTGGGAATGACCAATGAAAAAGGAAAGGGCCTGAGGCTGTTAGGAATGGTGGGAGTTGAAGTCCAAAACACCCGGAAGGAGGGGCCAAGTTACCCCATAGTTTGAGACCAATTTGATTACTATTCCCTATTCAGACACAGAAAGATGGGCACTGATCAAATGCCTGTCTCTGAGCATATACAGAGCTCCCAGAATCATCACTACCATCATCTAATATTAGAGAAAGCTTTCTACAGCAAAGGGCTTTCTTTCCTGAGCATCTTGAAACCCCGTAAACTTAAATTTAGAAGTTTTCTCTAGAAATCATTTTCAGCTCCCAAACCATAGATACTCTTTCAACACAATCCCAACCAATGACTCGGGTATATGACAAAAGCTGCCAGTGTTTAAAAGGCTATATGTAGTTCAGTCGTTGCAGTGTGTTTACTCAGAGGCAAAACCCACAGAGTACAATGGGACTTCCTCAAAATCCAAACAAATGGCTTTGAGATTTTAATCTGTTTCCCTTGCAGGTCCCACGGAAGATCCAACCTAGAAGCAACCCAATCACCATTTATAATGACCCCCCTTTGGATTCTATAGATATAGGTGAGTTTGACTTGAAATTGACCTATGTTTTTGGATATGCAACAATTCTTTTTTTGCAAAAATCATATATTACCTGCTTCTTAACTAATACAGCATAGCCATCCCTTTGCAAAGACAATAATCATCCTTCCAATCAAGGTACAGTGTTCTTGTTTATTCATTCAGTCGCTTCCGACTCTTCGTGACCTCATGGACCAGTCCATGCCAGAGCTCCTTGCTGGCCGTCACCACCTCCAGCTTCTTCAAAGTTAGGTACAGTAGAGTCTTTCTTATCCAATCTTCGCTCATCCAACGTTCTGTATTATCCAACGCAATCTGCCTCCCACCCAGATCCACAGCTGTTTCAATACATTACACTGTTTTGGTGCTAAATTTGTACAGTAATTACTGCAGAACATTACAATACATTGAACTGCTTTTTCTGTTGATTTGTTGTAAAATCAGTGTTTAACTTGTAAAATCATTGAGTAATTTGACATTTAATAGGCTTTTCCTTAATCCCTTCTTATTATCCAACATTTTTGCTTATCCAACGTTCTGCTGGCCCATTTATGTTGGATAAGCGAGACTCTACTATAATATAACACAATCAAGAATGAAGAACTTTTGGGAGTTTCCTGCTGTTTTTGGATTGCAGCTCCCAGTAGCCCCTGCTCGTTAGACCAAGGGTGATGGGGATGGAGTTCCAAAAAGATCTTTTTTATGTTGTAGAAGGCTTTCATGGCTGGAATCACTGGATTTCTGTGAGTTTTCTGGGCTGTATGACCAAGTTCCAGAAGCATTCTCTCCTGACATTTCACCCACATCTATGGCAGGCATCCTCAGAAGTTGTGAGGCTGTCAGACAAGGCCATACAGCCCAGAAAACTCACAGCAACCCATCTATCAGATAGCTTTTTTGGTTGGGGATGGACAGTTTTTAAGATGAATTTGAACTGCAGAAATCAAAGGATAATAATTACCTTAGAAAAATTAATCTGGAATGCATTCCTCTTGATGATTCTTGTCTATATCATTTGTCTTTCTACTGACAAACTCTCCTTGCATGCTTTCTCATCTGGCTCATGGCCAGATTAGTTCATTCAGCCTTTTATAGCATCTCCAGTTACCTCTTCCACTGACCTGTCCTTTCCTTCAACAGTCTTTCCAACCATCGATTGGCAAGATTTAGCTGACTGCACCTCAGTCTTCCAGCAAGAGGTTGCTAAAATTTCTCCAATTCCGCAGGTAATTCGCAGCCCGTCACCAAATATAATCTTCCTTGTGTTCTTCATATATTTGATGTATTATTATTACACTCTGCACACTGATGGAGTTATGTTTCCACTTCAACTACTATATCGACATCCTATGCACATCTGGAATTTGCAGTTTAAGGAGAGGTGTTTAGAAACTCAGCTAGGGAGTGTTTCATCAAACTACAAATCATAGAATTCCACATCAGGCGTCCAAGAGAATTATAGTGGCATCATAGTGCTATAATTCTGTGGTGTGAAAGGGCCTTGGGAGCCATTGCAAAACAATAAGTTACCAACAAGATAGGTTCTGTAGGTTTGTTCTTAAGATGAATTTGTTTGTAAGTTGGAACAGGTGCATTTCTTAAGTGTACCCCCAGCCAAAAAAAAATCTTTTAAAGCTTTGGGTAGCACAGGGAAAGGTTACCACCCCTGTGGTGTTTCTTTTGCTGTCTGTGCCCCTGTTCAGAAGATATCACCTCTCTTTCTGTCCCTGTGAGAATTGGATTTTGAAAAATGTGGCTTGTTGTGGGAACAAGGATTGGTGATAAAGCTTCAGTGGAGACACCTTTTCCCCTTGATAACTCTTTCAGGAGTGAATTTCCCTTTCGAGGGGTAGATTTCTCTCACTTCCTGTTGTCTTACTCCTGTTCTTAACCATGAGTCATTTCTAAGTCAGATGTTTGTAACTCAGGGACTGCCAGAATAGTACTCTGTGTGTGTCCCCTTCAAGTCTCCTGTTGACTTATGGCAAACATGAATTTCATAAAAGGAATATTCAGGGGTGATTTTGTCAGTTCCTTCCTCTGAAAGATTTGGTGTTTATTGGTGGTCTTCCCTCCAGGTACTAATCAGAGTTGCCCCTGCTTAACATCCAAGATCACATGGAATCTAGGGCCCCTGATGCCGCAATGGGTTAAACCGTTGAGCTGCTGGGCCGAGGTGAGTTCCCCACTGTTAACCACAGTTCCTGCCAACCTAGCAGTTTGAAAACATGCAAATGTTGGTAGATCAATAGGTACTGCCTTGGTGGGAAGGCAAATAGGTGCTCCATGCAATCATGACAGCCACATGACCAGGAAGTGTCTATGGGCAACGCAGGCTCCTTGGCTTGGAAATGGACATGAAGAAAAGGAGATGAGCAACTGCCCCAAAGCCCAGATGACCACCACCTCCAGAGCCAGAAGTGAAAAGGGGAAGCCTTTGCCTTTGTGTATTTCTGTTTCATTGTATCAAGACATTTAATGTTTGCCTGGGTTTGTATATATGCTGTAATCCTCTCTGAGTCCCCTTGGGGAGATAGGGCAGAATATAAATAAGTCAGGTAAAAGTTTTCTCCTGACATTAAGTCTGGTAATGTCTGACTTCAAGGTGAGTGTTCATCTCCATTTCTAAGCTGAAGAGCCAGCGTTTTCATGTGGCTGACATGACTTCATGGAGCGCCGTTACCTTTCCACCGGAACGAAACCTATTGATTTACTCACATTTGCATGTTTTCAAACTGCTAGGTTGGCAGAAGCTGGGGCTAAAGCGGGAGCTCACTCTGCTCCCCAGATTCGAACCGCCAACCCTTCGGTCAACAAGTTCAGCAGCTCAGCGATTTAAACCACTGCGCCACCGGTGGCTCCAGAATTTGAATATAAATAAAATGTTATTTATTTATTTACTTATTTAGTTATTATTATTATTATTATTATTATTATTACTATTCCACTTCAATTGTCATAGTAACATCCTATGGAATCATGGGATGTATAGTTTGGGGAGGCACTGGAGTCACCTGTCTCAAAATTCCAAAATGCCCTTTCCCAACCAGCCAATCAAAGAATTTCATACAATGGAACCATGGCAGTTAAAGTGGAATCATAGTACTATAAGTCTGTAGTGTGAATGGGCCCCGGGTTAGGGAGAAAAGCGGTGGGGTTTTGTTTAATCTTCGACCATCCAGCTATTGTTGGCCACAGATTCTGAGAGCTGAAACATAAAGCATCTGGACAACTAAAGACTGAGGACCGCTGGGGTAGGGCAAAGGAAAACTGGCCACTGTGGCTTTCGGTTCAGGATAATAATGAATCAGAACTTTCAGGGATCTATCCAAGGTGCTGAGCCCTAATCCCAAATGAGCAACTATAACTCTTTTTAATGTTGAAGTAAGACCTGGAGTGAATGTATTTACCTTGCCATGGATATGGAAGGCACTAGATGTCACCTTGTTATCCTTTGACCCCCTTGGTCATAATTTGGTTCAGCCTCCTAGAACAAGTAGCCAAAAAGAGCATGGGCAAACTTTGGGCCTCCAGGTGTTTTGAACTCCCACCATACTTAACAGCCTCAGGCCCTTTTCAGTTTAAGTGGCTGAGGAGGGAAAGAAAAGGGTCTGAGGCTGTTAGGAATGGTGGGAGTTGGAGTCCAAAATATCTGGAGGGCCCAAGTTTGCCATACCTGCTCTATACTATGGAAACATGAGATTTGTTGTTTGGTGAGGCATCAAATCTATTTGGCAGAAAATGGCTGGAGACCTTGTAAAAGTACAATTTCCATAGCAGTGAGCCATTGTAGTTAAAGTGGTACCAAAGTGCATTGTGTAGATGCAGCTCTGGTGAGTAACCACAATTCTCATAGCAGTGAGCCATGGCAGTTAAAGTGGTACCAAAGTGCACTGTGTAGATGCAGCCCTGGTGACTAACCACAATTCTCATAGCAGTGAGCCATGGTAGCTAAAGTGGTACCAAAGTGCACTGAGTAGATGCAGCCCTGGTGACTAGCCACAAGAGCGCGTAGGCAGCTCACGAAACTCCTTACCTGGCAGCCTCTTTGGGCACCTTCCAATTGCCAAAGTGTCAACATCAGGACTATAGGCAGGCCTAACTCCAAGGAATATGATTGGCTCCTGTGGCTGTCCAATGAGTTCCTCCCTGCGTCTTAAAGGGTTATTTGAAAGCTCGAGTCAGTTCTGACTTTTCTGCAGGGATCTCTGGTTGGCTGCTGTCTTTTTGATGGGCTCGTGCACCATGGCGCTGCAAGCTTGCAGCTTCCATCACCTGGCTTGGCCCATGGATATCCAGGTGAGACAAGGTGGAATAAGTAATTTGAGCTTTGAACTCTCAGCCTTAGAGGAAGAGCAACTACACTGTCAAATTAATGCAGTTTGAGACCCCATTGGCCCTGGCTCAATGTTGTAGCATCATGGGAGTTGTAGTTTGGTGAGATACTATTATTATTAATTAATTAATTAATTAATTAATTTTTATCCTGCTTTTCTCCCATGGATGGGACTCAGCAGTCTGGCAGGGAAGGCTAAAGGCCTTGTAAAACTACAACTCCCAGGATTCTGTAGCATAGAATCAGGGCAGTTAAAGGGGTGTCAAAGTGAATTAATTCAACAGTGTAGATGCACCTCATGATTCTGGAAACTGGACTTTGAATCCTTGCTCAGTCACAGGTAACCTTGATTAAGGTTGCATCTAGAATTAATGGGGCTTGACACCTCTTTAACTGCCATGACTCAATGTTGCGGTATCATGGAAGTTGTAGTTTTATAAAATCCCTTAACTTTCTCCATCAAATAGTGCAAACTACAAATCCTAGGATTCCATAAGCATTGAGCCATGGCAGTTAAAATGGGTTTAGATTTGTAGTTTGGTGAATCACCAACACTCTTTGACAGAGAAAGCTAAGGATCTTGTAAAACTACAACTCCAAGGATTCTATAGCATTGCACCATGGGGCAGTTAAAGGGGTGTCTACAGGAGACATGGGCAAACTCCTGCCCTCCAGGTGTTTTGGACTCCAACTCCCACAATTCCTACCAGCTGTCAGGAATTGTGGGAGTTGGAGTTGAAAATGCCTGGAGGGCAGGAATTTGCCTATGCCTGGGCTACAGTGAAGATGCAGTCCAAGACATACTCTCTCAGCTTCAGAGGAAGAGCAAAGATAAACTTACTTCTGAACAAATCTTTCCAAAGAAAGCTCCATGATAGGATTGCCATATATCTGCAATGACTTGAAGGTCCACCATAAGATGCGACTGAACATTTACATGACGACCTGCAGAAGTCCCAACAAGAGGATATCGGATGAGGATTTCTCTAATTCCCACTTTTCTCTTGCGTATATTTCAGAGCGTTTGCTTGCAGCCTGAGCCAGAATTTGATTTCCAAGAGTTTCGCGATGCTGTCGATAGCTTCATATCAGGTACGTATAGGGAGAGTTTAGTTCAAAATCTCACAGCAGTTAGATGGGAGAGAAAATGATTGCTTGGGTAAGTGGGGGAAAAGAGGTAAGGATTACCAGGTTCAGTGAGATCAGAAAGGTCTTGGTGGAAGCAAATGAAAAGGTTGTTGGATGCTGTGCTTAGTTGGTAAAAAGAGTCAGATAAACATTCCAGCTCTACTTCTGGTGACTGAAGAGATATTTCCAAGCAAATGAGATATGGGAGATGTAGGATTCTGATAGCTTATTATAAGGTTCAAAAACAGCTAGAAAGAACGAGGAAACTGTCTAAGGGTGCAGTGCTTTGTCCTCTTTGCTACTCAGCTGATTTGAAACCATTCTCCTCTAGCCAGTTACTGATTCTGTATGGGAATGGGGGAGTCCCACAGATCTATTTTTTTAATACTGGTAGCCAGTATTAAATGGGCTATTCATATTAGGAAAAGATGAAAATCCCCTCTCTCCGTGTTGTTCATATCTTGTTCTGTTTTATTGTTTATTTAAAGTATTTTATCTCATTTTGTAGCCTGAATGGCTCACTATCAGTCATGTAGCCGGGGGGGGGTTGGGGGACCTTAGCCCCCCCCAAATTCTCATGGTGGTCTGTGAAAAGGCCTTACTGGTACATCATTTAAACTGTTATGTTTATTCATATCATGATCTGATCACCATGCTCAATATATCCATATGCATGGGGGTATTGGGGTAATGATACAAAAGGTTTGCTAGGGTAGACCCTCTTTCACTCAGACTCAGCCCCCCTGAACCAAACTCAGCCCCCCCCCCCCCCGAAAGAAAATCCTGGCTACGGGCCTGCTCACTATGTAACTATAATAATCCAAAAAGACATGACATGAAAGGAAAAAGGGATGGGAGGGGAAAATGAAAAAAGTGGTAACAGTTCAGTAGCAGAAATGACTCTATTTCATATCGCATGTCAGTTGGTTTCAACCTGTTGGAATGACTATGGGGAAGAAAAATTTTGAGCTGGTCTGGTGGACTGATCTTGCGCTTTCCGCATCTGTCAATGACATTATTTGTGTCTGTACCTTGGGAAGTCAGATTTAGCCATGGTAGTCCACACTCTTGTTACATCTCGAATAGACTACTACAATGCACTCTATGTGGGGTTGCCTTTGAAGACTGTTCAGAAGTTTCAAGTAGTCCAACGGGTGGCAGCCAGGTTTCTAACTGGAGTGGGGTACAGGGAGCACACAACCCCCTGTTGTGCCAGTTCCACTGGCTGCTACTGAGCACAATTCAAAGTGCTTGCTTTAGCCTATAAAGCCCTAAATGGGTTCCGGTCATCTTACCTGTCTGAATGTATATCCCCTTATAAATCATCTTGGATCATCTTGGAGGTTAAGACTGCCCGAGGAAGCCCTGCTCTTGGTCCCACCTCCTCCACAGGTGAGACTGGTGGGGATGAGAGATGGGGCTTTCTCAGTGGTAGCACCTCGACTATGGAACTTCCTCCCCAGGGAAATCAGATCAGCTCCCTCTCTCCTGACGTTCAGGAAGAAAGTTAAATCCTGGTTGTGGGACCAAGCATTTGCACTATAATTCCCAGTGCAACAATCATTTCTGTGCAATAACAGTTGGAATATGCTTTTGGACTGTGTGATTTTAAGTAATTATTTTAAGTGATATGTTTTAATTATGTAATCTTAAATTATACGTTGTTTTATATTTTTATATGTATTCAAGGCATTGAATTGTGCTTTTGCTGTGAGGCACCCTGAGTCCCCTTCGGGGTGAGGAATGTGTAAGGAATTATTCATTCCTTGCCTTGTCCCCAGCCCAGGAACTCATTCTTTTCTGCTGTAGTTTAGCAAATCCTAATCTTTAATATTCTGCTTCACGTCTAGCACTAAAAATAATTTATGTATATATCAATCACAAGAATAATTGTGCTCAACCATATAATTCGATTCCTATTGGTCTCTCTAGATTCTTCCTCACTGATGCCTCCTCTGCTAGACTCTGACGATTTCTCTTTTCCTGTGGATGACGATGAACCATTCAGCCCTTGCCTCCAGCAACCTTCACAGGTTGATCCTGCTTCACAGACAAATACAGAAAACATCTCTTCTTCTGAGCAGTATTGGAAGGAGTTGGCCGATCATAACCAGAAAGCACTAGGGAATGCGCTTGTGGAAAACAATCAGGTACAAAAGCACAAAAATGGCATTTAGATCACCCTGAGAACCCACTTTGCTGTGGATACCTTTGGTGCATTGCCTGCAAATAAGTTGAATGGCACACTAACTTGGAACCAGTTATATTGAAACAGAACTGATTAAGAGTCATAATTATTCATCTTGTGTCAGGACCAAGCAACTATGGGAGATTAAACGATATATTATTCCACTGGGAGATATGGGAAAAACTTTTTTCAAAACTAGAGGTTTTTTGTTTTGTATCAGGAACGACTTGAGAAACTGCAAGTCGCTTCTGGTGTGAGAGAATTGGCCGTCTGCAAGGACGTTGCCCAGGAGATGCCCAGATGTTTGATGTTTTACCATCCTGTGGGAAGCTTTACTCATGTCCCCACATGGGAAGCTAGAGCTGAGATGGGAGCTCACCCCGCTCCACAGAGTCGAACTGCCAACCTGTTGGTAAGCAGTCCTGCCAGCACAAGGATTTAACCTATTGTGCCACTGGGAACTAGAGGTGATTTCTAGTCACTTCCAGATTTTTTGGACCTAAAAATGGCTCAAGGGGGATCCAAAACATAGTAAAAATGCCCAAGGGGGATTTGGGGGCATTTTTTTTTTTACCCCTAAGCTTCCCAACAGCTATGAAAATAGCCTTGGGTGTCTACATTTGGACATTAGGCTCTCTAATATTTGGCCTATAGCTACCATCAACCCCACCCAGCATGACCAATGGCAAGAAATTGTGGGAATTGTAATCTAAAACATCTTGAGGGCCAAAGGTCCCTTGGGTTAAGAGGAAAGTTATGTTTTCTGAAGGAACAGTTGATTAAGCACAAGTTACTTCTGGTGAAGTGGACTACAGATGACATAGATGTTCTAGTGAAGCTAGTATGTTTTGCATATATTGGATTGGCAAGAAAAACATTTGTCCTACCTTCCAAGGTAAAGATGATTATATAGAGGTTGAGGATCTTAAATGCTCGGGACCAGGAGTGTTGCATATTTTGACTTTTTCCAGGTTTTGGAGTACTTGTACACACATAATGAGGTACTTTGGAGATGAGATCCAAATCTAAACACAAAATTAATTTATGTTTCATATGCATCTTCTATGTATAGCCTGAGGACAGTTGTATACACAGTGTACACATGAAACAAAGTTTGTGTATATGGAATTACAAGAAAGCAAAGGTGTCCAGATTTGAGCCACCCATTCTTGGGATTCTGGGTGAGAGATACTCAACCTGTATGCTGGCCTCCCAGGGACCTGATATCAGGAGAGATATCTTCCTACATGAATAAAAACAGGAGAGTCATTAAGTATTTGGCAGATCACAAAAATGTGGCTTGGAGTCCCCGGTGGTGCAGTGGGTTAAACCACTGAGTTGCTAAACTTGCTAACCGAAAAGTCTCAGCTTCGAATCTGGGGAGCGGGGCGAGCTCCCGCTGTTATCCCCAGCTTCTGCCAACCTAGCAGTTCAAAAACATGCAAATATGAATCATAGAATCAAAGAGTTGGAAGAGACCTCATGGGCCATCCAGTCCAACCCCCTGCCAAGAAGCAGGAATATTCATTCAAATCACCCCTGACAGATGGCCATCCAGCCTCTGTTTAAAAGCTTCCAAAGAAGGAGCCTCCACCACACTCCGGGGCAGAGAGTTCCACTGCTGAACGGCTCTCACAGTCAGGAAGTTCTTCCTCATGTTCAAATGGAATCTCTTCTCTTGTAGTTTGAAGCCATTGTTCCATTGCGTCCTAGTCTCCAGGAAGCAGAAAACAAGCTTGCTCCCTCCTCCCTGTGGCTTCCTCTCACATATTTATACATGGCTATCATATCTCCTCTCAGCCTTCTCTTCTTCAGGCTGAACATGCCCAGCTCCTTAAGCCGCTCCTCATAGGGCTTGTTCTCCAGACCCTTGATCATTTTAGTCACCCTCCTCTGGACACATTCCAGCTTGTCAATATCTCTCTTGAATTGTGGAGTAGATCAATAGGCGGGAAGGTAATAGTGCTCCATGCAGTCATGCCAGCCACATGACCGAGGAGATATCTATGGACAATGCCGGCTCTTCGGCTTAGAAATGGAGATGAGCACCAGAGTCGGACACGACTGGACTTAATGTCAGGGGAAACCTTTACCTTTACCTAAAATGTGGCTGGTATTTACATTATAGGTTAAGTGTGTTCTTTTGATTACCTCCGGCTGTACATTTCACACTGACTGTGTTGATCTCTCAACAGCTTCAAGTGACCTTGACCCAAAAGCAGGAAGAGATTGCTTCCTTGAAAGAAAAGAATACCCAGCTGAAGGAACTGGCTAGCCAAGCAAAACAGCTCGCCTCTGTGCTGGATGTAGGTGCTAAAATATCTTTCTGGGTCATTCCATCTTGTGGGTTTTTAATACATGTTTGGCAATAGTAACCATCAACCTGAACCCTGCTGCTGTTGTATGGTGATGATGGAAATTCACTCTCTTTCACCCTATACAATTGGCGTATATTGTTACATTTCACTTTGTAGAGGGGGCTGTTGCTCAAAATCATGTTAGGAGCACGTGAGAAACTTTTTCACAGTAATAATAATTAATATTTTAAAAAATCAAATAAAAATGGTTTTCCTAATTTCATATCTCCTGGACTGAATATGAAATGGGATGCAGTTTGTGTCTGAAATCTGTACATTTCTGAGCCGGCATTCTGTTCTGCGAAATAGAAAAATATTCACTAGCATGTCCACATTGGAAAAAAGCTTCCAAAAAATTGCTACATTAATTTCTTAATTGAGTACAGTTGCACTTTAATCGATGAAAGAGCAATTGGGAAAAAAGATGCTAAAAATACAAACAGAACTTTTCTGCTCAGGACACTTAATGCAGTGGTTTTTTGTAAGTTTTTCGGGCTGTATGGTCATGTTCTAGAAGCATTCTCTTCTGATGTTTCACTTGCATCTGTGGTAGGCACCCTCAGAGGTTGTGAGGTCTGTTGGAAACTAGGAAAGTTGGGTTTATATATCTGTGGAAGGTCCAGGGTGGGAGAAAGAACTCTTGTCTGTTAGGGTTAGGTATGAATGTTTCAATTGGCCACCTTGGTTAGCATTTGATGACCTGACAGTTTTTAGGTGTGTCTTGTTAAAGCCTGGGAGAATCCTTTGTTGAGAGGTGATTGTGAAAATGGACAAAATCTGGATACCATTATTTAAAAACTCTAAAATTATAACAGTAAATAAAGAACAAAACTCAAATACAAGGGAACTCCAGATAAGAAACAATCAGGAACACCGAATCACCTCTCAACAAAGGATTCTCCCAGACAATAACAAGTGACACCTAAAAACTGTCAGGCCATTAAATGCTAATCAAGGTGGCCAATAGAAACATTCACACCTACTTCCAACAGACAAGAGTTCTTTCTCCCACCTTAGACTTCCCACAGATATATAAACCCAATTTTCCTAGTTTCCAACAGACTTCGCAACCTCTGAGGATGCGTAATAATAATAATAATAATAATAATAATAATAATAATAATAATAATTTTATTTTTATACCCTGCCAACCATCTCCCCAAAGGGACTCGGAGTGGCTTACAAGGGGGAAGCCCAAAAATTACAAATAGAACACAACCTATTAAAACATCAGATAAAATTTAAAAACACTCACAATTGTAAACAACATCAAAACAATATGGCTGAGAAAAAGAACATAGCTGAGGTTCAGGCTCCATAAGTGCAATACATCCTAAAGGGAGCGCAAGGAAAGTGCAACAATCAAGTAGAGAGGGATGGGAATAGTGTCATCAAAAGTGTTGAGGGTTACCTACCACAGATGCAGGCGAAACGTCAGGAGTGAATACTTCTAGAACATGGCCATGCAGTCCCAAAACCCTAAAACAATCCAGTGATTCCGGCCATGAAAGCCTTCGACAATACACACTTAATGCAGTTTGACACCACTTAAACTGTCATAGTTTGGTGCTCCGGAATTAGTAGTTTTTCAAGGTCTTTAGCATTTCTATGCCAAAGAGTGTTGATGCCTCCCCAAACTATAAATCCCAGGATTCCATAGCATCGAATCATGGCAGTTCAAGTGGTGTGTCAAACGGCATTAATTCTGCGGATGCACCCCTGGAGTTGTGTAAAAGAGAAAGTGCAGAAATTCCTACTCCTAAATTGCACTTTCTCCATATTGTATGTATGTTGCACAAACAGTAAATGCCTCCCTTTATGTTGCTTGGTAGAAGCTGATGATTCCCCAGTGCAAAGACAGCCCAGATGTTTTTCTCACCAATGGTCCCAACAAGAGAAGCCTCCCACATTCTTCTGTTGCTGAGCAAGAAAGTGACATGGAAGTGAACGAAATTTTGCGAGAGATATCAGACAAATGCAATGCAGCACTGCAGTCCATTGATGACAGGGGCCCGAAGCGCCCTCGTGGGGAGAATGAAGCAATCCATATGTATGGATCCTTCCAGGGATTACAGACACGCAGCAGCCGTAGCTCCCTGGACTTGAGTGGCAGCGAACTGGAGGAAGGGGTCTCTTTCAGGACGTCCATCCAAGAGCATTGTAATATCCGGACGATGGCTTTTCCTCAAGGCAATGCATTTACTGTCAGGACAGCTACTGGGGGTTATAAATTCAGATGGGTACCTAGCTGATGTAAGGACCAAGCAATCAGCTAACTACACTTGCCTCACTTTCCAGTTACTTCTTCCCAAATCTCCACTAATGTCCAGGATAAGAGCTGCTAAGGCAACTCACGTTGTGTGCTTCTGACATCTAATTGATGAAAACCAAAATTACTGATAATTGGGGAAAGGTAAAAACTTCAGCTAACTTAGGATCATAAGATGCTGCCTTATGTTGCATCAGCCCATTGCTTCATTTAAGACTCCTATTTTCAGCTCCAACTGGTAACAATTCCTCGGGGTCTCAAACCGGAGATTCGGAGATCCCATGGATTGAACCTGGGAACATTTGCAGGCATCTCCTTGCTGGAGTGATTTACCCCCAACTTTTTCTATGTTGAGCCCTTGTTTCTGGTGGTTAATGAGAAGAGACTGAATATATTAGTGGAGAAAAATGAGAAGGGGTCATCTTTCTTCCAAGTCATCTTGGTTGTTTATGTAGATATGACTCAGACTATTTTATTATTAAAATTGGATCAAATTTTAAATGGCACAGATTTTTTTGCAATCTGTATTCTATTATAATATTTTTAAAATATTGCATAAATCTGGGCAGACCCTTTTTCAGACTAAGATGCTGCTCTATGTCCAATTATAATGATGCCAGAAAGTTTACAAAACTGTGATATATGTGTGTACACTTATGCTATAATATAATATTTGTATGTACAGTTGACCCTCCACATTTGTGGGTTTAACTTTTATAGAGTTGATCATTTGTGGGTTCAATTAATATCATCTGGTAATTTCTAGATCCCCCAAGGCTCTTCTATGACCAACTCCCTCCAATCAGAAGTTGACCATAGAGCCATGCTGCACGACTTAGAGATTCATAGAAACTGTTATCTTAGATTTAAAAATGATGTTGTTAAGAATTGGATGGCCTACTGTATTGGCCAGTTTTTATTACTAATCTGAACAAGGATAGTAATTTGTTTGCATCATTGTATTTACACCCAATTGAAACTTGAATGAGAGAGAGCAGAATCATCTAAGTGTTTGTATGACTATACTTTTCGTTGCTCCTCTCCTTTCTGCGCCACAGACCTCATGTACAGATACAAAATATGCCTTTGACTGAATTGTGGAGCCCTTGGTGACCCTGCTGAGCTGCTGAACTTGCTGACCGAAAAGTCGGTGGTTCAAATTCGGGGAGTGGGGTGAGCTCCCACTGTTAGCCCCAGCTTCTGCCAACCTAGCAGTTCGAAAGCGTGAAATATGAGTAGATCAATAGGTACTGCTTCTGCAGGAAGGTAACAGCACTCCATGCAGTAATGCCAGCCACATGACCTTAGAGGTGTCTACGGACAACACTGGCTCTTCGGCTTAGAAATGGAGTTGAGCACCACCCCCCAGAGTCGCACATGACTAGACTTAATGTCAAGGGAACACCTTTACCTTACTTTCTGGGTCACAGACCTCATGTACAAGTATAGAAGTGCCTTCGACTGAATTGCACCACCAGTCCATCTACTCTTGGGAAACATATATTCTACCATTGACCTATGTAGAAAGATTTCATGTGGCATATATAATTTATGTTAGATGCTTCTATCACAATAGTGCAATTGATTGTGCAGAATCTGGCTTGTTTTTCGTTGATTTTTTTTACTGACACTTATTAGAAGGAAGATAACAATGAAGGAATAAATGCTGTACTGACATACCTCAGTTAATGAAGTATGTTCCTGGGCATTAGTTCTTTAATAGAAAATTTGGTAGTTCAACGTGTTTCAGCAATTTTTATATCCAAACTTTTATATTCAAATGAAATGACCAGATCAGGGAATATTTACATTGGTAAACAATTTTTTGAACCACCTAGAGATACATTGAAAGTTCTTCCAAAATCTATCTAGGGATGATTTTTCATTTACCATTCTCCATTCTTCATATAGTTTTCATTTTGGCATAATTGCAGAAATCCATGCTTTGAAAAATATGTTGCTATCTGTCACTGAAAGGCTTCCCCACCATCCTCCCAGTGTTGATGCTGCTAAAAGAAGTCTACTTAGAGAACAAGGAGGACTACAACAAACTTTTGCAGAAAGGAGCTTCTTTGTTAGCAACTTCATTAACTGAGGTGCACCTGCACTGTCTGCAGAGATTAAATTATGAAGACACAAACTCATTTTTGTTACTTTTTTGCTGTGTCTTAAAATAATTTTATGTAAATTACTGTGAAAATGTAAGCACTTTAAAATAATAAAAGTACTTTTGTGTTGGCAATATGGAAGTGTGATTAATCAACAAGGAGCTGAAGACATTTGTCCCACTGTGGTGTTGTGAATTATTAATGCTTAGCTGGAGCCTGTGCAGCTATGGACAAGTCTACATAGGGACCACTAAACACAACACCCAAACACAAATCAAGGAACATGAAAGGCACTATAAATATTGTTACTTTTTAGTGTTCACATTATTTCTAAATGTTTGAGGTGGCAATTTGGGAGGCAATTAGACAAATATTATATATGTGTGTGTTGAAATCATTAGTAATATAAACTGAACAAGAGTCCACAGTGTGAATGTTGAATTGGGACTCTGGTCGGCAAGGGTTCCAGTTCATTCGGCCATGGAAATCCACTGGGGGCGGATCCAGACAGGTCTTTATCCCAGGGGGCCTGTCTACAACCACCACAGAAAACACATGCTTTCTGGGGTGGGGGGTCCAGACGCGCTCTCAGGACTAGCCCGAGAGATCATCTGGAGGCCCTACCCCCCAATCCCCCAGATCCCTTCGAAAAGTAATGAAAACTTACCTGGCCTTCATTACATGCATTGGCCAGCTTTCCTGGCACGTAGAAATGATGCACCAGGAGAGTGGGGGGAGGGGAGCAATTTTCATCCCTCCCTCCCCCCCCTGCTCTCCTGGCACGTAATTTCTATGCACCAGGAGAGCCAGCCGAGGCTCGTAATGGAGGCCGGATAAGTCTTCATTACTTTTCTTAGGGGTCTGAGGGCTTGGAGGATGGGGGTGGGTACTCCTACCGGACTTATTTAGCCTGGTAAACTGTGGGAATACTGCCTGTACTGCAGTATTCTACAGTCCAAAACCGGAAATAGTGGGTTTATCCCATGCCTTGCAAGAAGGCATGGAACAAACCCACTATCTAATTAATTCGCTACAAACCTGGGTTTTCCTGTTTTGTAGTGAATTAATTTGGGACTATCCAGAACATTGTCTGGACAGCCCCTCCTTTACTGTGGCAGATACCGCAATAAAGGCACTGTCTGGATGGGCCCTGGGCGATTTTGAGCAAATCACACTCTCCCTGAATTTTCCCCCCAAGAAATCCCTGTGAAAGATTTATTTTAGAAAAGTCATGAATTAGAAATGACTTGAAAGGAACAAAACAAGAAACAACATGTTTGTTTCTAATGTTAATCCACGGGGAAACAGACAAATTTAATTTCCCCAGCTTCAGATTTTGTAACTCATTACTCTTTTTTTTAAAATATAATCTTTATTAAGTTTCCAATTACATTTAAATTATAGATATGTAGCCTAGACTACTAAAAGGGTGTGAGGTGTGCTGAATTGAAATAACCCCGAAATGAAAAGTAACTCATTACTCTTCTTATTTTGCACAGAGTGGTTGAACATCACATACTGCAAAACATTCTGTTACTCTCCAACCAGGAGCGGCTCAACCCATTACGCAAAGTAAGCATTTGCAGTATAGTTGATTTTGCCCAGGGGCGCTTTTGAGGCGCTCTTGGGGGAAAATAGACCTTGACATATGCGAGTTGTAGTTACTGAGATGTATAGTTCACCTACAATCAAAGAGCATTCTGAACTCCACCAATGATGGGATTGAACCAAATATGGCACACAGAACTCCCACGACGAACAGAAAATATATATCAGTCATTGGTTGGGGGGTGGGGGTGGGTTTGCTTACTGTTGAAAATTACCTAGGGCCGCCTCTGTCTCCAACAAGCATCTAATGACTTTTACTTGAACTATATGCAAATAATAGTTATCTTACTAACTTACGCGAAATGTTTTTAAATAAAAAAAGCCCACACTTTTCTGAAATGGCTGTGCAGAAGACCCTTTTATCCATTCTAAACATTGACCTGCTCCCTGGTCGTTTGCCTCTGTTTACATTTTTCATTGTATGAGCTTAACGGATAGCTGAAACCAGCAAAGCTTAGAAGTGTAGACATTTGCTGAGACATCATAGGTGTACTAGATAAGGTCACCAGGTCCACTTGCAATCCAGCACCTGTTCAAACTCTTAGCTAATGCCTTCTTATTTTCAATATTTACTTCACACCCTTAAACAAAATCTTTGGGGAAATCTGGATTTGTAATTGCCTTGAAGTTTGTTCATACAGCTGGATCTATTTAAGGAAATACTTAAACCAGGATGGCATAGTTTTTCATAAAACTAGATTTTTTTTGCCTTTAATCATGAACTCTCCAAATCTAAAAACCTCTAGCATGTTTTGACTTGGCTTCTTTTCTTGTCATTCTGTTCAAACTATGGACAGAAACTCAACTTTGTTGTCCAGATTAGATGCTTCCAATGGTGGTCAGAGAAAGCGCTAACAGCAGTTCAAGGCCAGGGTGGAGATAAAAGACTTATTAAAGGAGGTCATCCTTGTTACACATGAAGATGAGGGTAGAAAAAATGCAGGAAAAGAGTGGTAGTAACAAATGTCTTCACAGGATATGTCAGTTTGGAAGAGGAAATAACTGTAGACAATCTCCCATTAGTCTCTGCTAAAATGAAGAGTGGTCGGGAAGTATGAAAAGTGTAGTTTAAAAAATCTGGAGGGCATCAAGATACCATATCTTGGTTGAAAGGATGTTTGGGTCCCTAACTGGATAACCTTGGGCAAGTCACATTCTCTTAGTTCTGAGAAAGGCAAAGGTAAACCTGGCCTGAACAAATTGCTAAGACAACTCCATAATAGGTTTGCTTTGGGGCCATCATAAATCAGAAATGACTTGAAGGTAC